ATCTCACAGTTCAGTTGGCCAGAAATTTGAAATCAAGGAGTTGGCAGGGCTGTGCGCCCTCTGGAGGCTCTAGGGGAGAATCCTTCCTTATCTCCAGCTTTGGGTGCCTGTTGGCATTCCTTGGCTTCCTAGGCTGGTGGCCAGATCACTCCAATCTCTGCCTCCATCCTCACGTTGCTTTCTCGTGTGTGTGTGTGTGTGTGTGTGTGTGTGTGTGTGTGTGTAAAAACCTCCCTCTGCCTTTCTCTTGTATGTGCACTTGCCGTTGGATTTAGGGCCAACCCAGATAATCCAGGGTGATCTCCTCATCTCGAGATCCTTAACTTAATTACCTCTGCAAAGACTCCTTTTCCAAATAAGATAACATTGACAGGTTCTGGGAATTAGGATGTGCACTCATCTTTACCTGCTACATAAGAATTAAGTGAAATATAATTATATGTGTGTTTAAGTCTATTTATATATGGCATTTAGCTCAGTGCCTGACAAATGTAGTTACTCAATGTTAATTCATTTCACTTCCCTTTAGAAATCCAACGTTCTGCCCCCCTGGGATGCTTTTGGCAGTTATGCTCAATTCAGAGCGTTTCTGCTCCGCTTTGCCCCCACTGGCGTCCTGTGGTGACCATCAGGTAGTCTGTTTCTCGTTTTCCATCTTTCCTTGCTTGGCCATGCCTGGGTGTCCCCATGTCTGTGGTGTGCTCTCTCTCCCAACCCCAGTCTTTCTAACCTTCCACGTCTGGCACTTTCTCACCTTCATTAATGTTACTTCTCATCTTCACAGTGAGCTCTAGTCCCCTTTTCTCCTTTCTGTTTTTTCACCCCATTTGTCCATTTGGACCTTTACAACTTATTTTCCATTGCTGCCAACACTGTTCAAGTTGGATCGCTTATCCCTGTATATCCTTTGCAGCTGTGCACCTCACAGCCTCTGCTTATACTGTCCTATCGATGTAAATGTGCTTTCGCTCCTTCCTCTTACTTCTCTTAGTGCCTTCGCTTTAAAATTCATCTTTCCTCCTTCCACTCAGGCCACAGTCATGCTCAGATCCCTCCTGTTAACAAGAAAACTTCCCTTGACCTTGCTGTCACTTACCTGTTCTAAAACTGGACTGCTTCCACTTTATCCACTCAACTCCATACTAGTTTCCTTTTGTTTCCATTATTTGGGTGAAACTGCTCTCTTGAAGGTCGACCATGATCTAATAGCTTTTTTCAAGGCTAACTGGGATGGTGGTAAAGAGCTGGGTTGCTGGAGTTGACTGCAGGGGTTGAATTCTAGCTCTGCTACTTGCCAATAACTGTGTGACCTTGAGCAAGTCCCTTAACTCCATGCTTCAATTTCCTTATCTGTAAAATGGGAATATTAGTACCTACCTTATAGGGTTGCTTGTAAGGGTTACATAGATTAGTTTATGTAAAGAACTTCTAAGGATGCCCAGTAGAGTATGCACTAGGTATTAGTTTTTTTTATATTCTAAGCTATTGTGTTTTAGTCTTTCTTGTTAGCTTCTGTGGTGACATTTGACATGGTTGACCGTTCCCTTTACTTTTGTCCAGTGACTTCTTCACCATGTTCAAGCTCAGATTAATTTATCTCGGGGTCTTTTATCTTTGTGTCTCCTATTTGTGGTCTGAACTTCACCTTCTTATCTCCTTTCTAGATAATTTTTCCTGTGGTAATTCTCCACTGTGGTTCCTACTTTCACTTTTGTGTGAGTGTCTCCCCAAATTGTATTTGTACCTTGTCTTTCTTAGCTCCAGCACTGCGTTTATAGCTGCGTGTGAGAATGCCTAACCAACACAGTCTCCCTCACAATCAGCTCTGTAGTTGACTTCTGGTTTTGTTAAAGGACCTGGAGATTGTGATGATTAGAAACATGGATGTCGGGATCAGAGGGGTGTTGTATTTGAGTCCTTCGGTACTCAGGAAGCCTTTCCAGATCACTGCAGACGGCACAGTCTCCTTGGCTTGAATACACAGCGTGCTTTCAATGAGCAAAACTGCGTGTGGAAAGAGGTAGAGAGACACAGCTTTATGGCAAATGTACTCCTTAGTTTTATTAAGTTGAGAATGAGGCATGTTCATAAATCTTTCCTCACAAACCCAGGGTAGGATGCCTAGAAGCTGTTGTAAACTGTTGATTTTTGAAGTTTTTTTCCTTTATGTTGTAGTTGTTCCCCCCTGGAAAACAGACTAGGTAAAGAAGTTAAATTTATGTCTCACAATGCAGAGGCAAATAGCAAATGAACTAAATTAGAGAACATGGCATCATTTTAATTTACCAGTGGTAGTTTTTAGTGTGTTTCTGAGTTGTCTTGAGACCATAGGGCAAGGATGGGAAAGATTTCCCTATTTGTTTTCTGAAATGTAGTCCCTTGTAAGTTGGAATAGAAATTTTAGACAAGGATTTCCTGGCTTGCCAATACGATATTATATTTTATAGTAATGATGATTAGCAGGCAAGTATAGTTATTTGAGTGTGGGTTACTGGATTTTTATGATGTTTGGTAATCAGACAGTCTGGACCATTCAGTGCTGGCTTCTTGGGCCTTGAAACACTGACACATGGCCTTGCTCCTGTTAACAATGCCTCTGTTTAAACACAGCTTCATTCCTTAATGGGTTTTAATCTTTAGGGATTAAACCCGTGAGGACTATTAACCTAAGGAATGTAACTCAATTAGCTGTGAATGATTTAAAATAAACTAATAGATTTCCATTTGGAGAGCTTGGTGTTTCACTGTCCTTTATTTTTTCTCCATCCATCTAATGAATAGTAAATGCAGTCTTTTGGTAAATGATTCACGTTTGTCACAGGTGCCATCAGCAATCAATTTTCTTAACAGTTTTGTTACCTGATATTTTGAAAGTTTTTAGGAAAATTTGACTTTGATTATCCTTTTCTATACTGGATATTTTCCTTGTTTCTAAAATTTGACTTGGTTTCAAGATTCAGACCATTTTCTTTATAAGAGTAGGTGTGTTAATCAAAAGTAAAAGCTATATAGTTTTTAAAAGGTCTGTTTCCAGGACAGACAGTGAGGCACATGTGTTCTCACCTAGTATATCCTTGCTTAGGCCAATACTGTTTCTTCCAAGTCTGGGAATCAGTACTGGTCTTGGCTTCATAACCCTTGGCTCAGTCCTGCTTCTCCATGACAGGTCTCTTATTTATTTATTTTTTTTCAGTTTGGTGCATAACAAATATTTAGGATATTTACACCACTGATAACAGATTTCGTGTATAACTTTAGGATTAAATGATCCGAGAGATTGTAAATCAGTTGGCATTCATAATCTATTTCATTGTTTTTTCCTGCATTGTTTCAGTTGAACTTGAGATCTTGGTTTAGGTCGAGTTGCTATTGTTACTTGGGCTTTTCTTGAACATTTTCCCACATTTTTGGTTGGCTGTTCTCTTTGTTTTCATTCTTCACTTTGTCTTGTTTGTCTTTTAAAGTCCATTAGAAAGCAAAAATGTGATAAAAACTTGTGGGGCTTGTAACCCTGGTATAATAAATTCAAGCCTAAACAAGTTAAATCTAATTATAGGACTGCTTTCTAAGAGAGGATGTGGACAGTCTCCTAAAAATGGTTGAGGTAAACTTATGTGGAACCTAGATTTCTGTTTCTCTTTTATGGCTTGAAGGTGAGAGAAAGAGTGTTAATACACTCTGCTTCTCTACTCTCGTTATCTGTTTTCTGTTCATTTGTACTTTGAACAAGTTCAAATTTCAAAAAAATGGGAAAGGAGGTAGCAAACGTTTTGCTCATTTCTCTGTACCATGTCGAAGAAGCAGAACTGGGCCCAGAAAATGAGTCGGCATTTTTGATTTTTTCATTCAGCATTCATTTTTCGAGAGTGTCATTACTGTGTTGGGAGACAGCTTATCTTAAAATTGAAAGAGCCATTAACCGAGCCTTGCAGTTTCTTGGTTTTGCCATGATAATGAGCTTCCTCCTCTTGTCTGAATGGAGTTTATGATTTTTAGCTTCACGCTTGGAGAAGTTAGAGTAGAAGGGGCTTTCGAGAAACCTAGTGCAGTACTGCCAGTTTTAGTTGAGGAAACTGAGATCCAGTGAGCTGCCCTTGGTAGCAGAATCAGGACCACAAAAGAAAAGGTCTTTTGACTTGACTTCTGTGCCTGTCAGAGGAGGCTTGCCATCTCAAAAGTCAGGGATTTTTGTAATCTTCGTCAAATTACCAGTTTCTCCCAAAGGAGGAGATTAGAAATTATTTTTGAAGCACTTACTCTGGAGAATTAGATTAGCAGCTTGAAAACGGCACATTGATTTTGATTTTATCTGCTTTTACAGTCCTGGTAGGTAGATTGAAGGGTAGGTAGGTAGGTAGATTGAAGGGTAGGTAGATTGAAGGGTAGGTAGATTGAAGGGTAGGTACATTGAAGGGGAGTGTAAAAGTTCAAGTATTTAAGAGAAATTACAAAAAGTGATACTGATTCTAGATCATTCTACACTATGCCCCACCAACGCCTTGAGAAATTTGCAAGATCCATACGCATACTGGAGATATTGACTTATGATATATTTATGATTCAAGAAGGAATCCTCACCTTTGAGGAGTCTTTGGCTTGAGGGAATTAATAGAGAATTAGAGAAAGTGAATTTTAGGAGTATATGGTTGAATACGTATAAAAAAAAACCTCTTGGAAATTTCTAAGTATATTTTATAGTAGAAAATCATCTATGGATAAAGGAATTACGATATTTCAGTTTGTTCATTTAGTCTCATTCTGTTTGATGGATGGATGTTACTACTTTAATTTTTTCATTTTATTGTTTCTTTAAAAGAGTTTGTTTTTATAAGTTTTTGATAATGGGAGATAGTCATTTTATATTTCTGTTTTCCCTTTGGATGTACTAATTGAGTCAGTTTGGGTCTATTGGGCAGTTCCTCAATTCTGAATATTATTTTTAAAAATTTTTAAAAAGCTTATTGAGTCATGACATTCTCTCTTTTTTTTTTCCTTTATAGCCAACACATATCTCTTTATGGTACAAGCTCGAGGAATAATGTTGAGAGAGAATGTAAAAACAATAGGACATATGATCAGGCTGTACACAAATAAAAACACTACACTCAATGGTACAGGTAAGACTGCTTCCTGTTTAATTTTGCTTTGCTTCCACTTCTTACCCTTAGAGTCATAAATCAGTAAACCAAATCTCTTCAAGTTCTGCCTCCAAGTACCTTCCTGTTAAAGATGAAGGTCTCCTACTAAGTGCACTGGGAGGGTCTTTCACTGCTTGAGTTGGGACTGTCATGTATTCTAGGATATATAAGGGTATGATCACCAAGGTGATGAGGGTTTTGTATAAAGATACTTAAGTTAATTCTTGCAAACATAACTTAAACAAAATATGAAAAACAGCTTGTACTTTTTCAGTTTGCCTACTGTGTTGAAAAGAAATTACCCACAAAAAGAGTAATTTATTCATCTTAGCCATACTGCCATCTTCTTTATGCCCATTCTGATTCCTAAGATGGTTTCCCAGCTATGTCTAGAAAATACGTGTTTTTAGTTATAGCAGAGTCTGAATAATTGTATGGTCTTTTTAGGGGATAATGGGAGAAATCATATAAAATTGGAAATCAATAGCTGCTCTTGTCTTTTTAAAATATAATCTGGAAGAAGAATCTCCATCAGAATCACATGAGGTTAAAACCTATGTAATAGGCCAAACTAATGATTTAATGATGTAAATAGATTCAGCTGCTGTGGGAGGATGCTTGTGCTCTTCTCTGGCAGTGTTTCCACATTGTCTTCCTGAAGTAGAATTGGGTGTTATTTTAAAGGGTTCAGTGGCTGATTATCAGTTGTTGCATCCACTGTATTCTCATTTTAAACAGTTAAAGACTTATGTCAACAGTTCTTCATTCATTGTGCCACTGTAAATCACACACACATATCCCCACACCCTAATAGGAAGCCCCTATCTCCCAACCATAGGTATATTTTCTTAAAATGGGTGTTAAGATGGGTAATACTTTTAGACTCTTCTAAAAATTCAAGACTGTGACATATTGATTCTTAATTTAATGTCACACATGCTTCTGCAAAATCTGTCCTAGTCATTTGCCTGATTTGTATTATGATGCCGCCAATCAAACACTCTTAATTTTCTTCTTCCTTTTAACTTTAAAGAAATTTCCTTTAGAAAGACTGTCTCATCTGAGCTGATATTTTAATAGTACGGTAGAAGTCTCATGAACTGGTCTTCTGCATTAATTGGTCTTCTGAACAGTAGGTCAATTTTAGGAGAAGTTTAAACATTTTAAAAGCTTCACTAAGACTTGTCCTGGTTGAATAAGTTGATGTGAAGGTATTCACTAAAAGTTCATTCAGCTGAAGTATTAAGCATCCTTAAGTTACTGTATTTGTATAAGTGAGTGGTAATAAAATCTGTGCCTAATCAGGTTCTTTTCCTGGAGTATGAATAAGTTATATGCATGAATGTTGCGTTTTTGATTAGGAGAACTGGTTACTTGGGCAAGACAACCCCGCCCTCAACCCTACTGCAGCATATCCCACAGCTGAAAAAAAGGAAATCCTCTCTTCCCCTCACCAAGTCATAGTTGCAGTGAAGACCGAACAACCAGTGCATCCTTTGATGAAAGTTTGCTTTTTATGAACCTTTGGAAATTTTTCACATGGTTCCTTTACTGATGGTGCAGCTCTTCTCAGGAGACCGTCAGTTATTGTATCAGTTAGGAATTAGGTTTGGTTGTAAGAGAAACCTGCCCGCAGTGGTTTAAACCCATGAGGCTTCTTGTACAAAAGAAGTCTGGATGGAGGACTGTTTCTGTTGTGGAGAAAGTCTTCACACGCTTTCCCACTTCTGCTCTGTCATGTAGCTTCACAGGCTAAGATGACTGTGGGTCTCCAGTCTCTATGTTTGCCCTTGGGTCATTAGAAGGAGCGATGGAAGGGAGGGAGGAAGAAGAAATAGAGTGCCCCCTTTGTAAGGACCCTTCCCGGAAGTCCCACGTAGTAGTTCCGCTTATGTCTCACGAGCCAGAACTTAGTTGTAAGGACACCTGGGAATGATAGTCTTTGAGCTGGGCTCCCTGCTGCCCTGAATGAAATTGGGGTTCTGTTACCGAGGAAGAAAGGGAGAATGGAGTTTGAATAGGCAACTGTGAGGTTCTGCCGTGTTCATTTATCTTGAGTAGTTAGTGTAGGTATACTTAGCTAGATATTAGAGATACAAGTTGAAGAAACACATCCTCCTGAAACTGGGCCTTTAAACAGCATAGTCTTTCTTCCACGTTGTCACATTACCTTTTTTAGGGAAAATAATCTTGGAACTTTAGAACTAGAAGGACCATTAGAGATCACCTACTTCAACCCCATTATTATACAGCTGGGAAAACTGAGGGCCCAGATGAAGTGATTGACCCACGGCTGCACAGCTAGTAACTAGTCAGCCAGGACTAGAGCTTGTCTTTCAGACTTCTGATGTTCTCTGGTTTAGGGATCAGAAGACTCTGGATCTAGTACTTGTTCTTATACCAACTAGCTATTGTATATTTAAAAGAGTCAGCAAGCTCTTTATGCCCAGCTTTTTTATCTACCCTGTTTCATAGAACTATTAGAATAAAATGAAGATCTGGCATTTAGCATTCATTGTAAAAGGCAAATAGTACTATTCAAAAATAAAGGATTCCTACCAAAAGAAAAAAAAAATCCTCCCTTTACATGAAGATCTCTAGGTTTCTGAGAGAGATGGAAATGTGAATAGCTACTTATAATGCAGTGATTTATTTCTGCACAGACTTGTACAGATGAAATCTGCCAAAAAGGAGATAATGGACACTAAGGTTTACAAAGAGCTAATTGAGCTCCAGGGGAGAGTTGATGAACATGTATTGACTCATTTAAAATTTATCACTTGGACTTCCCTGGCGGTCCAGAGGTTGAGACTCTGTACTTCCAGTGCAGGGGGCATGGGTTCGATCCCTTGTCGGGGAATTAGGATCCCAGATGCCACTCGGCATGGCCAATAAAAAAGAAAACTATCACTTAGATTAGATCTTAAAAATTCTCATCACAAGAAAAAAAACTGTAACCGTGTGAAGTGTTGGATGTTAATTAGCCTTGTGGTAATCATTTCACAATATATACATGTATCAAATCATTATGTTGTACACCTTAAACTAACACAATGTTATATGCCAATGAAAATAGTTTGCAAAAAACATAATATTTAACACTTAGTGGCAAACTGTGATATTTCTAAGTACATTTGATTCCAAAAAGGAGTTTTTAACCCTGTACCTGAACGTTCTGAAGCACCAAGTGTAAAGAGATGTATGTAAAATTTTTCTAAAGAAACCATGTTCTTTTATAATCAAATGGTGCCTTGCCTTGTAGCCCATGGAGTCAGTCAAATTAAGAAAACAAAATGTATTCAGTGAGCAGTTATCAAAACAGATGACAAGGGTCACGCAGTGTTAGAGCTGGTAGGTTTGTTAGAAATAACCTAGCACACTTCATCATTTGGTGGATGCATGGTCGGAGGCCCACAGACATCGCCAGACTGACATGACAGGCTAGCAGTAAATAGACTGGAATGCTCATTGAGTTTCTGTTACCTGCTTTAAGCTGCCTTTTGTGGGGAGACCAAAGCCCTGGAGAGGTCTCCTTTGGTCCTGTTGTCCTAAGGTCCAGTGAGAGCTGAAGAGGGGACTTGTACAGCAGTTTTCATTCTGTGTTTCCTTTTTGTTTGGTGTGGCTCTGGAAGGAAGAAGGCAGGGGCCAGGGCTCACTGTGGTTTCATCCATTCATTAGATGAAATAATGTCTACATTTTACAGCAGTTGTGTGGATCAGCCTTCAGTGCATCTGTCATGCATCACCTTTTAAAACTCTTGATTTGGGGGCTTCCCTGGTGGTGCAGTGGTTGAGAGTCCGCCTGCCGATGCAGGAGACACGGGCTCGTGCCCCGGTCCGGGAAGATCCCACATGCCGCGGAGCAGCTGTGCCCGTGAGCCATGGCCGCTGAGCCTGCGCCTCCGGAGCCTGTGCTCCGCAACGGGAGAGGCCACAACAGTGAGAGGCCCACGTACCGAAAAAAAAAAAAAAAAACCTCCTGATTTTGGAAGCAGTGGGTTATACTCCATGGGCCTCACCACTTTTGTAGGAATAATGATTTTGTGGGTTTATTACATCAGAGTCGCCAAAAGTTTAAATCATTGTTGGCTGTATTATCAGTTGTGAAGTGTTTATTTGCAGTAAGTTTCTATTATGTTGTAGGTCCTTTATTAGATGCTAGAAATCAAAGGCAATTTGATTTCAGTTAAAAGAGGTTTATAGACTAATGGCAAGGGGGTGGATAGCCTTATATACAAAATACTTTGGGATGATGTAACTACCATTGGACACAGTACTTAAGGGATACAGATGTTTTTATTAGTCTGGCAATAAGTTGAGATCCTTATGATCATTTGTAATGATGTAGCCAAGAATAACATGTTTAGCTCCAAAACTTCGTATTTAAAGGACATGAATATACTGATACTGCATGTCTTTAAGGTTTTTTTTTTTTTTTTTAACATTAGTTCTTTGAAAACTGATGAAAGTGATCCATGGATTCTTTTGTAAAAAAAAATTCAATCATTTTAGCATGAGAATAAAAAGTGAAACAGTCCTCCAGCCCTCCTGTTGCCATGAGACTCCCCAAAGGGAGCTGCTGTTAACAGTTTGTGTTGCAGAGATGTCTGGAGAGCTTAAAATCTCTGTGAGTTAGGTGTGGATTAATAGAGTCTATAAATTATGTGTGGCTAAGAAAAGGGGCCCAAGCTTTAATGACAAGAATTAATAAATTATTTACAGTAAGAAAATACCCTTATTTAAATTTAACTACGTGACATTAAGAAATTAGGAATGCGTGAGTGTTAATGTTTATCTTCTTCAGGATTATATGAAAATGAGCACACACACTACCTTTGGAACACATAAAGGCAGTGCACTCCCAGGGACAAGCTTATTTTCTGTTTTCAGCTCCTACAAATGCATTGTGTAGAGTAGATGCTTGGCTAACATAGTGGGAGTCCCCATAAAAGCAGAACTTTTTTTTTTTTTTTTACTATAACTTGAAATTTGATATATATCTGGATATATATTTTTAAAGGGATTAAAAAAAAAGAACCAGAACTTTATTGGACTTCCTTACACTTATTTTATGTTTAGTATCTTTAAATCTTTCAGATATCTATGGGTGAGATAGAGTACGGGCTCCTAGAGGGGTTTCCGTGGTGTTAGTCCGTCCCTGTGTGTCTTGGCATACAAAACAGCTAATGTCCACTGAATCCCTCCCCCTCCTTTGTCTTAGAGGATTTTCCTTATCAAATGCTTTCCAGGGCTCCTCTGGAGAAAGGCATTGGGGAGGATTCTGTTACTGGGGCTTTCTCACTTCCTGGTGGAATAGGCCTTAGCCATTGTACCATCATTGGTCCCTATTTATCATGTTGGGGTTTTCTGGTAACACACTTACCTTAAAGCCTCCTTAACTGATGCCTTTCCAAGTTGGTAAGGTGTTTCCACTTATTCATAAGGGGTTCCGCTCTGCAAGGCCCCTTCCAGAAGGTGGGCCTGAAGGTGGGGTGTGTCTCTTTGCTCCAAAGTGCCATCCTGGCTCCCAGGTTGCATCCCCATCTACTGTATATATATATATATATTTTTTTTTTTAAGAATTTCTTCAGTTTACTTTATTATTTATTTATTTATTTGTCACACCACGTGGCTTGCAGTACCTTAGTTCCCCGACCAGGGACTGAACCCAGGCCCTTGGCAGTGAAAGTGTGGAGACCCAACCACTGGACTGCTAGGGAATTCCTGTCATCTGCTGTATTTTGATGATGAGTGAATATTTATGTTAGGCCAAGCCATGGACGGGAGGTGTTTAGTTTTCTTTGACTCTTCTCACATGCTTCATATTCAATTTCCAGGATTCTGCAGTGAGAGGGTTTAGCTTTTACAGTCCAGTAAGGCTGTGATTTTGACCTTCAGCCTTTTGCTTGCTGGTCTCTGGCTGACAGGCCTCTCTTCTAAGTCATATGCCCGTTCTCCCCCTTTCTAACTCTGCATGCAGGCCAGTTCTGATAGGAATACCTCTCTTATCAGAGCAGATTACTGAAGACTGAAAGTCGTCACATTTTCCTAAAGTGTCTGCTAGAACTTCATTTCCTGTGGGTACAGGGTTTGTGATCCAGAAGACAGATGGTAGTTTAATCAGCGGTTTCCATTTCTCATCTCTTACTCACCACATGTTGGTCTCATTCTCTCAGACCAACTTCCTCTTACATAGCAGGAAGCTGGCAGGTCATGGTTCCCAGATTTGCATCTCAGAACTTTGTTCCAGAAAGGGACTGAAATGTGAGCTCCTTGGTTCCAAGTTTAAAATTCCCAAGGCTCTGACTGTTCCAGGTTGAGTCAGGGGCTCATTTCTAAAGGAGTCACTCCTAGCTGAAGTTCCTGAATATGCATATGGGCTAGGGATTGTTGTACACTTACCTTTTTGAAATCTGAAAACGACAGCATGAGGTAGGTGCAGATGAGAAACTCTATTCTCTTGCTTTGTACCACAAAGCTAGTGAGTGTTGGGGCAGGATTTGAACTCAGCACTTGACTTTGGTGCTCTAAACTGTACCCTCGGTGTTCCATAATTTGCTGACTCTAAAGATAATGGACCTAAAGTAATAACAGCTCCAGGGCTCTCTAGAAACTGCAGCCCACGAGTTGGGAATGACTAATTTAAGGACTTTAAATGGGCTGTATTACAAAAGTCAGTTGAGTGGGTAAATCACAGTTTCTCAAGTGTGAGGTGATGAGAAAACATTACTCCCACCCTCTGCTCTGTGGATGTGGAAGCAGTGTGCTGTGGCTGTGTGGCTGTCCAGAACACCCTGAGCTGTTTGATACTGGAGAGTATCCCCTGGTGTACTTTCACTCCCTCTTTTTTTTTTTTAACATCTTTATTGGAGTATAACTGCTTTACAGTGGTGTGTTAGTTTCTGCTTTATAACAAAGTGAATCAGTTATACATATACATATGTTCCCATATCTCTTCCCTCTTGTGTCTCCCTCCCTCCCACCCTCCCTATCCCACCCCTCTAGGTGGTCACAAAGCACCGAGCGGATCTCCCTGTGCTATGAGGCTGCTTCCCACTAGCTATCTATTTTACGTTTGGTAGTGTATATATGTCCATTCCGCTCTCTCACTTTGTCACTCCCTCTTTCGAAGTGGCTCAGCTGGGGGAAGGGTGGGAACACCTGTTCTCTTACAGTCGCAAATGGGCCTGCTCTGTATGTACGCATGGATCAGGCCTTGCTGCTCCCCAGACTTGTCCCAGGTTCCCCCGGGGGAAATCATGCTGAGAGGTCCTGTCTGGCAGCGGTGAAGGGTGAATGGGAGAGTAGTCACAGCAGCTGTATTTTGCTTTTCTCTAGTTCTTTATAGATAATTGCTTTTAAGTACTGCTGCAGATTGCAGATTGTAGTCTTTACACAGTGATGGTGACACATTTCATACTAGGAGCAAAGCAAAAGACAATTTTTTGGTTGTAACTTTTCTCTCTCTCTCTAAGATTATCCTGAAGGCAATAATTCAAGTGATTATCTTGTTCAAGCAACAACGTATCTTCCGAGAAACTTCACATATTCGCCATACCTCCCCTGCCCCGAAAAGCTGCCTTACATGCGTAAGTTTCATCTTTTGACTTAACTATTTGCTTGTATTATAATAAAATAAAATTGCATGGTTTGAGCACACCACCCTCAGGCCATTATTGGGGGTGCTCGTATTCATATCACGTAGCATGTTATTTGACTTTATTTTGAGAGGGGTGCAAAGCAGTTTTTTTGGGAGGGGGAGGAGGATTAAAAAGCTAAAGAAAAAGCTTATGCCTTACCCAGAAGTAACCTCACCTCTGTTGTGAGTTTGATGTGTGTTCTTAAAATTATCCTTAAAATGATTTTAACACTATCTTTTACATAGATAGGAAATTAGAACATTTCAAAGGTTTTAAGAAATTATATAAATGATTTTAAAATTACATTTCCTTCTGTAACTTGCTCTCTTAATTATTTTTTGAGAACTGTCCATGCTGATAGATAGAGATCAGTTTATTTCCCTTAACTGTTCTATAGTGTATCTTTGAATAATTGAGTAAATGTACCACATTTCATTTACCTTTTTCTCTGCTGATGGAAATTTAGGTTGTTTCCACTGTTTTGCTACCACAAAGCAGTACTGTAAGGAACAACATCGTACAGATTTCCCTGTGCATGTGTGCTTTTGAGGGTTCATGCCTAAAAGTGGAATTGCTAGGTAGGCTGGCGTGGTTGCACTCCACAGTAGCGGTACCAGTTTATATCCCCAGGGGCAAAGCGTGAATGCACCACTTTGATATTGATGGACTTTTAAAATTTTGCTATTCTTACAGATCAAACACTTTTTGCTATTATGACAAATCAAAAAAGGTATCTTGTTTCAATTCTTACTTTCTTCATTACTGGTGGGTTTGAGTGACTTTTCCTGTGTTTGTGAGTAGTTTTGAGTTTTCTCTCCTGTGACTCAGTTACCGTTTTATCGGTTCCTTATTGGTTAATTAGATTTTTGTATTGATCAGTGGGAGTTCTTCATATATATTCCAGCCAGTGACCTATTGTCTGCTGTATGTGTTGCAATTGGCTTGTCTTTTCATTTTGTTTATGGAGTCTTTTATAGACATTTAAAATTATGTTTCTAAGTGTATCAATCACATTATTTAAGGTTTTTGCTTGTTTTGGTCTTAAGAAAGCTTTCCTTATTACCCGAAAGCCATACGAATACTCTTTTATTTCCTTCCAATAATTTTACAATTTTGTTTTGAATTTTTGTGTATAATACGAGGTAGGGATCAAGATACTGTATTTTAAACATTTTTTTCAAAATTATGAAGATAATACATTATTGTTTAAAAAAAAACCTCTATAATCACTCAGAAGCCACACGGCTGTTATTTTGCAGTTTTTTTTTTTTTTTTTTTTTTTTTGCGCTACGCGGGCCTCTCACCGTTATGGCCCCTCCCGCTGCAGAGCACAGGCTCCGGACGTGCAGGCCCAGCGTCCATGGCTCACGAGCCCAGCCTCTCTGTGGCATGTGGGATCCTCCCAGACCGGGACACAAACCCATGTCCCCTGCATCGGCAGGCGGACTCTCAACCACTGCGCCACCAGGGAAGCCCTATCTTGCAGTTTTTTATTATTTGTGTCTCCCTCCTCTGATTTTAAGCATACTTTGTACATATAAGTTAGTATCTTGATTTTTATGTAATTAAAATTCAAATAAACGTTATTTTGAATTGCTTATTTATCCACGTGTCTTAATGTCCTCAGTATCTAAGGTGTGTTTTTATGTCTTTATGTAACTTTTCTTTATTGAGGAAGTTAGTCTTTGCCTGTCATGTTTGTAGGATTTTTTTCAGTATGTTGTTGATAGATATATCTGTAATAAAAAGTATGATTCACCTTTTATTATCATCTAAGGCCATGGTTCTCACGCTTTAGGGTACATCGGAATCACTGGACAGCCTTATAAAACACACATTGCCGGACCCACCTTCAGAGTTTCCGAGTCCGTAGATGTGGAGTGTGGGGTCTGAGAATTTTCATTTCTGACAAGTTCCCAGGTCATGCTGATGTTGGTGATCCTTGGGCCACAGACCCACTGATCTAGAATTGATCCTGGCTGCACCATAGCTTTCATAATTCTTGGACCTAACCCCTAAGTTTCTGATTTTATTAATTGGATGCAGAGCCTGAGTATTTAAAAAAAAATTCTCAGCTGATTCTAATATTGTTATCTCCTTGCTGTCCCGTAATAGAGAATGAAGCTATGGTTTTTGTGGCTATGTATTTGTCGTTACTTTGTCACTGCAGCCTTGGCTTTCTAAAAATGAATGTTTTTGTCTGTGTAGTACTGAGACCACTGGGTGTAATGTTCTGTTGAAATATTGATTACAGTAATTTCATTTTCATAATTTGCATATTCAAGGATTTATAGTTTTAGGAAATCTTTCTGTTCTTGGTTTAGTTGCCATTGTCTTAATTAGTGCTTTCTGGGTACTAATTGAAGTCTGCTTCAGAGCGTCTGCCTGCCAGGCCTTCCTGCTTGCCCTCCTCTCCCCTGGCCCCGTAACTCATAAATGCTCCTGTCACGTGCTTGAAAGATTGTGTCGTGGCTGTTCTCACTGCCTTTCGCTGACTGTCTTGCTGACCTGCTCCTCCCCTCTGCTCCCATCAGTCTTGCATTCTTCTGCAAGAGAGGATCACACCCGTTTGGCCAGCTACCTTTTCACAGAAGACCTCCTCATGGTTCTGCTGGCTTTGGGTCCAGCACCAATCCCTTGTCCAGTTAGCTGTGGCCAGCCTGATGGGATGGTTTAGTAGAAAATATGCCCTCATACAGATAACTCCTTAGGAAGGGGCCTGGCACGAGCCATCCTGGACAGCCCCCTCACTAGTCCAGTGACCACTGCAAAGTAGCCTCAGTTTGCCTATCTGTAAAATCTGGGATTATATGCCCACTTCACAGTGTTGTGAGGATAAAGAGAAGCACAGTGCTTGAAGCTTGGTAGACGTTAATTTGCTGTTCCCTTTCCTTTTCCTCATTTCTTTAAATGATGGAGCCAGATTTTACGATGATCAAGGGTGTGAGAAACCTAGGAGAAACGTGTGGAGTTAAGGCATTTTTTACTTAGCTACGCATCCTTAATTTGTTTTTAATTAACAGAATTGTTTCCCATTGATGAAAGAGAACAGCATAATAAAATACCTGCGTATAAAAATCTTATTGTCATATCACACAAAATAATTGAATACCATACCTCCCCAAATAATAGTCAAGGAGAGTCTGTGTAAGAAGGTGATCTACTTAGATGAAAACCATTCAAGTATGTATGATACTGAATTCCTATAATCACCAGAAGGGAAGTTAAGGCTTAAAGTTGTTGTTTGATTATCTAGCTGTAACTTCTTTTTGATTTTTGCTGGCACTGGATTACCATAAAGGTGAAGTTTGGGGCTTCCCTGGTGGCACAGTGGTTGGGAGTCCGCCTGCCGATGCAGGGGGCGCGGGCTCATGCCGCGGAGCGGCTGGGCCCGTGGGCCATGGCCGCTGGGCCTGCGCGTCCGGAGCCTGTGCTCCGCAGCGGGAGAGGCCACGGCAGTGAGAGACCCGCGTACCGCAAAAAAAAAAACAAA